CGCCCTGTTTGACTGAGTCGGTAGATGCTGCAATGGGCTGTACAAGTTCTCCCTGTCAGTGGATTGTGCTTGCAGAAAAGAGCCAGCTGCACTGTTGTTTAGGGCCTATGACTGGCTCGAGTCCCCCAGGAGAAGCCCTCAGATGCCCCAGGTGCTGGGAGCGGCCCCAGAGCTCCCAGAGGACTCCTTATTCTCCACCATAGTGGAGGCAGTTGGAGGAGAGAGGCTGGGTGAGGCTAGGTCGGGCAAGCCTGCCTTTAGGCTCTGCACAGGTGGGCACAAAAGCTGTCTTGGCAGGGGTTGAGGGTCGGCTCCCAGGCCACTGGGGAAATCCAGCAGGGGAAAGCCACTGGGGAAAGCCACCAGGGAGGGGTTGAAGTGGCCTAACCAAACCATAAAATCTGCTCATGGGGTAGGGCCATCTGGGATTCACAGACTCTCTATTAGGAGTGGGTTTCACTCTTCTCCCTCCTCCCCTGCCCTGCAGGTCTTCTTCTGGTGTCTGGTTGCAAACAAAAGCCCAAACTAGCTGAGCTTGCCAGCAATGGCACCACAGGTGGGAACTTCCCTGCCTGAGGTCCTGCCCCAGTCTGAAAGCACCGCTTTCCTGTGGGGAGAGGGCTGATCCACGTATGCTGTGGCTCAGACCCACGTTGCACTCTCCTTTCAGTCCTTCCCACGTGGGCTCCCCTGCCTCCTGAGTTTAGTTCACAGATCTCACAAATCTCTGTGCCCCCAAGCAACATGATCAAGTCCTGGGGGTATGGGATCTGGCCTGTGGGCCTGTCCCCTGGTCTCACAAGTTCAATCCCTGACCATGCCAGGGGAAGCCTGTTGGCCCCAAGTTGCTCATGCAGTGCTCAAGCAGGCTTAATACCCCTCCACTTTGGGGTATGCCCTGCTCTGCTGGAGTGGCTGGGCCAGCAGCACTGGGGAGTGCTGGTGGGCAGGGAGCTCACATTCTGAGTACCACTAGGTCCACTGCAGGTCCCCAAAGGGAAAGGTGTGGGCGTCACTCTCTGTGGGAGCCTCGATGCAGTGGATGCACCAACAGAGGGGAAGCAGTCACTTGGGAGAGCCCCAGCTCTATCTCTCAGCTGCAGTGGGCAGGGGAGGGGTGGGGGAGGATAAGAGTCTACATGGAGAAGAACTAGCTCTCTAGCTCTCTCTGTCCCTCTTCCTGGAAGGAAGCCCACTTGGAATGTCCAAGCTCTCAGATCACACAGATCCTCAGGAACCACTGCAGTCTGGGGGGGAGTTGGGAACTGTTTGTGTGGGAACAGGTGATGTGAAAACTGAAGGACTAGAACTCTCTGGGGAGGACAAAGGCACCCTATGGGTGGAGAAGCAGTATGGTGCCCACTGTCTCTGGTCTAGTCTGTGGTGATGGGGAGTGACCCCAAGGGGGCTGGCAGCCAGGTGCTTTGTTTTCAAGAAGCTCCTAGTTCAGTGGCAGCAGCAGCTTTTGGGATCATGAGGGTGGAAAAGCTCTCCAGCAGCTCGGGAGCCTGCTGACTACCAGAGGTGTGAGGGAAGGAGAAAGAAACCCCCACCTACCTTTTCCACCAAGCTCCAAGTTTCTCCAGGATTGATCTCTGCTGATACTTTGTTTCTCCTTGTTCTGCTCTGCAACTTTTTCCTGTGGAATCTCCTGTAGGTTCTGGCACCTTTCCCTCAGAATTACACCTGAGCTGTGTTTTTTTGAAATCTGGAACGTTTCCTTCTTTCTGGAATGATCTGATGACTGATGTCTCTAGTCATCCATCTTCTCTCACTAATTGGCTAATTTAAACAATATCTTTGAGTTTATTGATTCTTTCTTCTATATGATCAAATCTGTTATTGAAGCTCTCTCTTGATTTTTTGTTTTGTCATTGTATTCTTTAGCTCTAGGATTTCTCTTTGGTTCTTTTTTATGATTTCTAATTCTTTATTAAACTTTTACTTTTGTTTATGCATTGTTTTCCTGATTTCATTTGGTTGTCTTTGTTATCTTATATCTTATTGAGCTTAAGATGATTATTTTGAATTCTTTGTCAGGCAATTTGTAGATCTCCATTTCTTTGGGGATCACTTACTGGAGTTTGCTTAGTTTCTTTTGGTGATGTCATGTTTGCTTGATTCATCATTATCCATGTAGCCTTGCATTGGTGTCTGCATTTGAAAGAGCAAACACTTTTTCTAGTCTTTACAGGCTGGTTTTAGCAGATAAAGACCTTCTGTTGGGCCCCGAGGCTGAAGGGATTGCCCCTGGGAGGGCAGTTGAGTGGGTCATATTGCTGCTACTGGGTCCATAGAAGGGCTCACTGTTGACAGGCCTATTATCAGGGGCTTGAGCAGGAATGGACCCTTTCTGGTCCCTGGGTAGACTGGACTGTCTCTACACTTTGGGGAATAGAGCTGGCTCTGGGACAAGGTTGCAATCAGTTGCTGGGTGAGTCCCCGAGCAGGCAGGACTTGCCCCAGATTGTGGCTGAGAGGGAATGGAACCAAGTCACAGGGTTGCTTTAGGGTTCATAGCTGAGACTGAGTTCTGCAGGCCTGCCTGGGAGCACAGATGGGTATACCTACCATCAGGTTTGTGGGTGAACAGGACTGCCTGCGCAATGTGGCTGAGCAGGCTGTAACTGGATCACTGGGCTCTTTCAAGATCTGCAGTTGAACTGAGGTTAGTAGGCCTGCTTCCTGGGGCACAGAGGAGCCTGTCTCCTAGTGGCCCCTGAGCTTGCAGGACTGGTCCTCGACCATGGCTGGGAAGGGATGGAATTGACTCGGGGCCGCTTCGAGATCTACGTGGGATTGAGGTAGGTGGGCCTGTCTCTGGGCTCACAGACAAGAGTGTCTCCAGCAGGTCCCTGAGAAGGCCAGACAGCCTTCAGACTGCGCGTGAGGGACTAGCGCTGACTCACAGGATGGTTTCAGGCTCTGCAGTGGGAATGAGGTTGGCAGACCTGCCTCTGGGGGCATGGGCTGGTGTGTCTTCCGGAAGTCCCTGGGAAGATGGTTCTGATGGCAGAACCAAGGCCAAATAGGGATCTAGCTGAGTCCATAGGGGGATGAGGCCATTTTGGGTCTGTTGCCAGGGATACAGGGGGCGAGCTTGCCACCTGCGTGAGAGCCTCCCCTCTCGGAAGAGCCCTCCTCAGTCTTGGGTTCCATCAGGGTTTTGCAACCTCTGACCTGAGTCCCAAGGCTCAGTGCACTTTTGTGTGTGGGTGGCTGCAAATTCTCGTTGCTATGGGGTGGGGGTGCAATCAGAGGACCTCCTATTCTGACATCACCTCCACTGGCTGCTTTTTCCAATCTCCTTGTTTTTTCTTTTGTTTCTTTTAAAAAGGAGACTTGCTCTTACCTTATGGTTTCTATTTCTCCCCTTTTGCTCATTGCTAACACAAAACCTTTCAGTCTGCCCTATTACCTAAAGTTCTCAGGATGCCGGCTCTGGTGGTGAATATTTTTTGACATTTTGTGATTATTTGAAAACCATGAGATGGTATTACTGGGGCACTGTCGTTCCCCTTTCTCGGAGGGAATCCACACCTCTGCGTGGGTGAGTCCTGCAGGTGCTTTTGTCCCTTCTCATCGTCCTTTGCCACTAGCCGCTGGTTCTTCACGGGGAGCATCTTTTTTTTCGGCCCAGATCCCTGTGCTATATAAGCTTGTGTGGCCTCCCCCTGACAGTAGGCAGAACATTTTTGCTTCTTTGAGGTTTCTGGGTCACCTGGGGGCTCAGTTCCCCCCACGTCTCATCTGTGTGCGGCTATCACACCTGAGCCTCCGCCGGGGGCGGGGGCCGCGTTCCCGCACCTGGCACCGGCTCCCCGCCATTCACCGCGGCCTCGCGTGTTCTTTTTCTTTTCAGCACATGGGTGTAGTTTTCCCGTGACCTCGGAAACTACGCAGCTGATCTTGCCCAGCGTTTGTTTCGCTATGTTTGTGAGGAAAAGGGGGTTATTTTAGCCGCGTCTACTGCGTCGCTGCAACCTTTTCCAGCTAGATCTTTCCCGGCATTTCCTCCTGTTTCCTGTAATTCTCACAGCAGGGCAGTCGGTCTGACTCCAGGTCAGCGCTGCGCATTTTGAGATCTCCCGTCAGTTTCTGGTCCGGCTGGTTCCCTCTGTGCTCTCCCGGATGGAGCATGAAATGGGTTTGTTAGCGACCATGAAGGTTTCTGTTCATCTTCTCAGGCCGCATGAAAGAAGGAAAATGTTTAGATTCACTGGAGTTTCACTTTGTGGGGCAGCCCTGTCCGGGTGGGGTCCCTGTGCGGAGGGACAGCGTGCTGGGCAGTGACCATCCCTGCTCCGCGTCGTGTGGCCCTGCAGTCTCGGTGAGGCCTGAGTCTCCGGCCACCCTCGGTCAAGCTGCAGCAGCCTTGTTGCTGGGGTCTCAGTCCCCCACCTGCGTTCCCCATCACCTCCTCTCGACTCTGCCCCCGTCTCCGATGGCCTCTGACACGTGCCTTGCCACCTGTCTTCAGCTCCCAGCAGGGGACAGACACCCAGTTACGATCCTTCCATGATTTCCGCAGTGACCGAGGAGGGGCACTGAGAGGTGACAATCAGCCCTCCACCCTGAACGTAGGGGCGCTGGCATTGCAAGTGGTGTCTCTCCACAGAGGCCCTTGTCCCCAGGAAAGGAATGCTCAGGGTCCCCAGGAGGGGGGCAGCGCGTTTGTGCGCACCCACAGGCGTGTCTGAGTCTCTGTGCGCACGTGTGTGCTGGAGTGCGTGCTCGTGCCCGCGCGTGCGCCTGCGTGTCGCGTGAGCACGTGTATGTGCCGAACTCCCACAAGGGGTGAAGGACCGAGAGCCGACGATGGCAGGAGGAGCCTCTCCCTGACCATCCTCTCAGGGTGGCACCAGGTGTGCAGGGCGTGGGGACTCAGGGCTGGTCCGAGGTGTGGCCCGGGGCAGAGAGGGCTTTGAGCCTGGCCGAGGCATGTTGGCAGGTGTCGCATGCTGAGTGCCCACCTCACCCGTGTCCCCCTTTCCCGACAGGAAAGATGTGCACGAAGGACTCTCAGAAGCCTGTGAAGCCGCAGAGCAAGGGGGTGCCCCGCGGGCCCGAGATCCTGCGGGACCGGACGAAGCGCGTCTACTCCGCCAGCCACCAGTGAGCGCCCGGCCGCCCACCTGCCCCAGGGACCCTGCAGAGCCCTTGAGACTGTCCCCGCCCCGGCCTGCCTGAGAGGAGCTGGGGCTTCTCCGGGGCTTGTGGCAGGGCAGGCAGGCGAGGAGAGTTGCCACCACAGGCCTGGCCACTGCAGGTGTCCTCGGGGAGGCCTGTGCGGAGCCCTCGGACCCGCCAGGAGCTGTGACCCATGAAGAGCTGCGTCTCCCCCTCGCGGTGCGCTGTCCACGCCTCTGTGCCGGGGTACGGGGAGCGGGGGGCGCCTTTCACACTCACGTGGGGCCAGGCGGTCCCAGCGACAGACACGCTGTCAGGTTTGCCGGGTGGACCGGTGCAGACTGCGACTCCCAATAAACAGCCCTGCAGGGCACTCCCAGGAAAGCGGGTGCTTCCGTCAGCGCCGCTATTCTGGCCTCCCAGCCTCTGGGGAGCCCCACACCGTGACCCCACAGGCAGAGGGGCAGGGCTGCAGGGCCCCCCTCTTGAGGAGACTCTCCCCTGGGGGACACAAGTTGGCTGGGAACAGGCTGGACCATCAGGACATCCTGCCAGGCCCAGCCTTGGGACAATGCAGGTCCCCAGTCTGGCCTCCCGGGCATCTGAGGCCACCTGGCAGGAACCAGAACCTTCCTGGGGGTCAGAGGATCTGCCGTCCTGTGCCTAGAGAGGAGGTGGGAGGCAGGCAGAGAGGTGGTGGCAGGTGGGACCTGCCAGAGGCTGCCGGGGTCTCTGCGCCCTGGCCCCTTCCTTCTCCCCTACACCAAGGTGGGTACTCGGTCCTGGACAGACCCAACCTGCCCAGGCAGGACACGGAGACGCAGATGGGCAACGGGCCCGGCACAGCAAGCGCCCATGCAGACCCGCAGGTAGCAGTGCTGGGGCCACACTGCTAGGTGTCCAAGCCCCTCCCCACCACCCATGCACAGCCTGGGCACGAGCGCTCTCCCCTGGGGCGGCGCCAGACGTGGGATCCGAGCAGCTGCGTGAGGCCTGGGGCTGCTGTAGGTCTCCAGCCTTTTATTCACACGAGGACTCAAAGAACACATGTCACCCATGGGCCCTGAGCAGCAGGGGCGCCTTGCGGAGGACACAGCAGGCTTGGCGGCTGCCCTGACCAGTGACCACTCAGGGCTGCCCCTTCCAGAGACGCGTGCAGGGTGGGGGCCTCGGCCATCGGGGCCAGGAGTGCCCGAGACCTCCCTACCCCGGCCCACCCGGCACTGGCGGGGAGGGGCTCCCTGGGGGCCAAGGCCCAGCACGGCTCAGTCTGACTCCAGAGAACAGGCGCCTGTGCCAGGGGACCCAGCCAGTGGCCAGAGACCTCGGTCACCTGTGTGGGCCATGGCTTCCCCAACTCAGTGACTAGGAGCAAAGCGGTGTTAAGCGGCCCTCTCAGGGCCCATGTGAGTCATGGCAGCTGGGTGTCCCCCAGGCCCCTGAGGCCCTCCTTCCCCTCGCAGGGCCCCTCTCTGGCAGGAAGCCACCTGCCCACCCCAGGACTGGAGCAGGTGTCCTGACAGCCTTCGTGCGTGGGAAGCGTCCACATCCTAGGTCCGTGAACACGGCCGAGGTGGACCCTGGGTCCCTCCAAAGCTATCTGGGAGGAGCTGAGACAGCAGCTCTCGGTGAGCAAGAACAGGAAATGTCTGTCAACGTGTGCACGTCTGGAAAAGCCCTTAACTGTCAGCTGGACAGGGTCAGGAAGGTGTCCCTCTGTCTGCACTGCTAGGTCTCACCGGTCACCAAGCATCACTGGGGCCAGGTGGCACCCACGTGTCACTCTGAGCCCTGGCCTGTGTCCCCCCAAGCTGGGACCTGGCCCCGGTCTGGGTGGGGATGGGGGGCAGGGCCCTTGCACAGGCCTAGACTCCAGCAAGGGCCGCTGTGCGAGCGCGGCGTGCCAGGGGGCGGCCCACATCTGCAAGGGCCCACGCTGCTCCCCTGGGGGACAGGGACAGCACCCACCCCCAAACAAAAGTACGGCAGAGGGTGGTCAGCTGCTGCCTCGTCTGGACATCGAGGGACCACTCAGAGTGGGTCTTCTGGGAGGACAGTCAGGACAGATGTAGTAGCCAGCAGTGCCTTCCCGGGACCCACCTTGCAGACAGGCTGTCACGCAGGCACTTGGGGCCCCTTGGTGGCACAGGGAGGGTGGGGCCCTGGCGCTGGGGCCCTTGCCGAGTTGGAAGGTGTCATGCATGCTCTCAAAGGCTCCGCTAACCCTGCGTGGTGGACACCGATGGCCTTGCAGGTTTCTTGGAGGGGGCTGGTGGGGGGGCCTCGCCTGAGGCCTGGGCTGATGGGGTCTGGTGGCACGTCCCCCGCGGGAGGAGGCGGGAGAGGAAGGCACAGGCTCGCTCACGGTCCCCAGAGGGATGTCGCTAATGGCGCCTCCTCCGCAGGCTTCAGGCGGGGGCTGCTTCTGCAGGGGTGCAGGGAGCTTGGGGAGGGGGTGGGAAGCTGGAGGTGCCCCTGAGGTCCCTGAAATACATGGCTTTTGGGGACACTGGCTCCCAGCTGACCTGAAGGCCTCACACAAAATCAAAAGCCAGGGGGCAGATGAGGCCAGGCTGGGGCCAGTGCGCCACGCCCCGTCCCCGCCTGCCCCGCACCCTGCCCGGGCCTCTCAGCCGAGGGGAATTAAATATCGTCCGTTCTGCATTTCGGCAAAGTCAGTCCTTGGCCTCAGTCCCACGGGGCCGTGGGGCAGTTACCGCCACCGGGGCCTGGCTGCTGCGAGGGCCAGGCTGAGGAGGAGGAGCAGGAGGAAGGCGCAGGGCTGGGGGCAGCTGGCGGCCGAGGTCTTCTGCCCCTCCCGCTCCGACAGGCCGGGGAGGGCGTGCGTCAAGGGTGTCCGGGAGCTGGAGCTCTTCTTGCCCACCTTCCGGCCGCAGAGGTCATCCGGGCAGCCGTCGCCACTGCCGGAGCCGCTGCCATCGTCACCTGGGAAGGAGAGGAGGCTCTGGCGGGCCCGTCCCCACTGGGGACCCAAGTGTAGCATTCCCCGGGAGAACACCATGTGCTAGGGGACCCCATGTCCTTGAAGTGTGGAAGCCCAGGGCCAGCGGCACCCGGACCACAGCAGCCCGACCCTGTGGGAGGCCTGGACACTCTCACCCCGCGGTCTGCCTCCTGTTGTCCCCACCTGAGCCACGTCCTGGCCAGGCCTCAACTATGCCTCGGGGACATGGGGGGGTTGGTGTTCGTGCCTGGCAGTGTCCTCACAGCCACTGTGGGGCGTGGGCTGAGGGCCTGGGTGGGGACCCTGGAGGGCGCCCCTGCACCCTCCCACTCCTGGGCAGGGCTCACCGCCCCCCCAGCTCTCAGCCCCTGCAGGGCCCCTCCCCGCCCTCACTGGCGTCCTGGAAGTCCACGTCGTTGCCGTTGTAGGCGCTGCGCAGCCGGTTGGTCATGATCTTCAGCTGCATGATCTGCTGCCGGATGGTCATGTCCGGCTTGGTGATGTCCACCTCCACCTCGGGGTTGTTGATCTGGTTGGCCAAGCCGTCGCCCATCACCTCGGGGAGGTACCTGGGGCAGCAGAGCCCCGGGTCACTGTGCCAGCCCCCGCAAAGGGGCACCGCCCTAGCAGGGCAGCCCCCAGACCCTCAATTCCGAGCCCCCAGCCTGAGATGCCAGTGGGCCCGTGCCGGCCCCACAGGTGTGAGGCCTCGACCCCTCTAGCAAGGTGCGCCCTGCGGGGAGCTGGCAGAGGCCGGGGTGTGGCCTTCCGCCTGCGTGCCATGTGGGCATGTCCCTGTGCTCAGGGCACCACGGCCAGGCACAGCCCAGGGGAGGCCCCGCGGGAAGGAGGGTCTGTGGCCACCCAGGCGGGCACCTACCGGCCCTTGGCCATCCCATTCCAGCAGCGGTCGTCACTGGCGGTGCTCAGGGCCATCTTCTCGCTGCACAGCGTCCCCGGGAGGCTGATCCAGAAGTCCTGGACGTCACGGAGCTGGGCCTTGGCCTCAGAGACCTGCCGGGCAGCAGTCAGGCCACCGGGCTGCCAGGACCAGCCAGCCCCACTCACCCCTGGGGCGTGGCTGCAGCCAGGGGCCGGCCTGGGGTCACTCACCAGCTTCTCCAGCGCACCCGTGGGGGGCCTCTCGGGCAGCACCGCCTTGCCCCGGCGCTGCCGCTCTTCGGGCCCAGCACCCTGGGGGTTGACCTTGGGGCTCCCGCAGCCCTGGATGACCTGGGGAGACACCGCAGGAGTCCTGGAGGGGCAGCAGGGCCCCTCAGGCCCAGATAGAACCACACCTGCGACACCGCTGCTCACCACGCCCTCCAGTCCGCACCTTGGCCGTGAGCGCGTCCCTGTTGTCCTGGAGGGCATTGACAGCCTCCGCCAGCCACACGTGCACGCTGCCGACGACGCTCTCCACACCCGACAGGCCCCAGAACTTGTCGGTGATGAGCACCATGGAGTCTGGCACGGGTGTCAGCACACACGCGCACACGTTAGCATGCACGCATGATCAAAACACAGTCTCCACGGCACGGGAAAAGGCATGATCAGCATGGGAGACTCCGTGAGCACGCACTCTGGTTGGCCCAGCTTATTGTCGCATGTGCAGTCATGTACACTCGTCAGTAAGCACGTGTGCCCACAGGCAGCGGCTAACACGGACACGCGTGGAGGACATTTGGCATGCCTGTCAGCCACCTTGTCTCCATTTCGGGCAAGTTGGCTCGCGTGGGTGTTGACGCGTGTGCACGCTGGCCCATCATGCGTACAAGCTGCCCACGTGAGTGGATGTGCACACATCACGTGCATGTTGGCTTGGCCCCGCCACCCCACGTGTACGTGAACTCGTGTGTCTGCATGTGTGTACAGTCAGCACATGCAAAACTTACACATGTTGCTAAGTGTCCACGATGGCCCACACCATGTCATCACACGCACACTAACACACGTGTTGGCCCATGTCAGCATACACATGCTAGCACTTGGTGGTGTCAGCTAACCCACCTTGTGTTGGCACGTGTGCTCGTGAGCTGACGTGTTGATGTTTATGCATGTTGGCTCACCTCATGCCAGCAGACATACGTGCATGCTAACACGTATGCATGCTGACCCACCTCATGTCAGCACGTGTACACATAAGCACACCACGGTGGCATGCACGGGCCCTGTATCAGCACATGTACACACCAGCTTACGTGTGTGCTGGCCCACCACGTGTCTGCACATACATGTTGGCTCATGCGTGTCACACACGTGTTGGTATGCATGCATGTTGGGGCACTCGTGCAGTGGGGAAGGACAAGGAACTGTGACCTGACAGGGCTCCCTCCTGGGGGGCCATCCCAAGTCAGGGACCACTGGGGGCCTTCGAAAGGCATCCTTGCCCCTCAGCCCCATGGCTCCACCCCAACCAGGCCCCTGCAGACCCCTGGGTCCAAGCCCTGGGCCGGGGCCCCCCACCTCCCGGGACCCCGGCTGGGTGCTCCTGAGGACAGGCCCGGGCCGCGCTGGCAGGTGGGGCTCACCCAGGAGGTTCCTCCACTCAGCGTCCAGGTCGGCCTGATTGGCGAGGCAGCCCTTGAGCACGTTGCGGCAGTAGTCGGGGCAGGGCCGGGCACCGGGCACGCCCAGGCAGTGAGCACAGTAGACCAGCTTCATGACGGCCCGCGAGCACTCTGGGCCCAGCGGCACCTGGGGGGCGAGGGCAGCCTGAGCATGGCCTCCGCACCCCGGGATGCCAGGGCCCCGACCAGCCGGAGGTCGCTCTGGGTGGAGGTCAGAGGAGGCCTCAGGTCTGCCCTGACTTACGTGAGGCACTGGGGCAGGACAGTCCCAGGGCCAGGACTCCCTGGCACCCTGTCGTCACTAACGCTCACAGGGAAGCATGAAACCCCCACCGGCCACAGAGACGAGGAAACTGAGGTTTGGGAGTTGGAGGGGGGTCACTTGCCAGGGACCCCGGTTAGGGACCAGGGCTATGAGGGGCTGAGGCCGATGCCTTCCTCACGCCCACCCCCACGTGGGACCGGCACGTGCTGCCCCTGCTCCTGCAGGGCCGCGGGAGCCCCAGTCTGCCCGAGCCTCCCCCTCTCATTCCTGGACGTCCTGACCCAGCGGCCAGAATCCACATCTGGCCCCAGGCCTGCTGGCACGTCCCACCCTGCCCAGGACGCAGTGCCATCGGCAGGCCCCGGGCAGCAGCTGGAGCCGGAGTCCTGCCACTGCGGGCTGAGGGCCAGGCAGCTGGCATGAGGCTCGGGGACACAGGGCTAACCCGGGGAGGTGGGGAGCATCTGGGCAGAGCATGGGGCCCTGGGGGACGTCTGTGCACACCTGGGCCACCTTCCGGACCACGTCGCTGGCCACCCCCAGTCCCTGCACGAAGGAACGTGCGGCCACGAATGCGCGGGTGGCTCGCAGGCGCAGCTCCCGTGGGGCCTCCCCGAAGGGCCGCAGCGCCTCGGCCTGCTTGCCCAGGCAGTCCATGTAGTCGTCGGGCAGCAGCAGCTGGGGGTGCAGCTGTTTGAAGAGGCGCTCCAGCAGGCGGGCCCAGAACTCGGCCAGCGACCCCTCCAGGTGCAGGCTGGCGCCGCGGTAGTAGAGGCGCAGCTCCGCGTACAGGTCCCGGAAGGCCCTGGCGTTCTGCGTGTACAGCTCCCCGAAGGCGCCAGGGAAGGCGTCCTGCAGTGCCCGCTCAGAGTCGTTCAGCAGGTGCTGGAAGTGGTCTGCGCACAGGGGAGGGGGTGAGCCTGGGAGACCCGCTGCTGTGAGAACACACTCGTGCGGCCATCGGAGCCGGCTGCCGAGCTGCGGACGCCTGGTGGGCGCGGGGCTTGCCAAGACCCCACCCTCCTGGCCGGGGTGCGGAGGCCCAGGTGCAGGGGTGCTCTCTTGGGTCTCAGGCCTCCCCCCACCCTTCTCCTGCCAAGATGTCCCCCTCACCGGGTGAAGCCCCCATGCCCACCTCCCCACCGCGCCGGCATCCCCTGGCCCGAGCACCAGGCCCACACTCACCGTCGAAGCTGCGCAGCTGGGCGGCGAGCATGGTCTGCAGGGCGCGGCTGCTGTCGCGGAGCGCCGTCTCCAGCTCCGTGCGGCTGCGGTTGGCCAGATTCTCCTCCATCTCGCTGGTGCAGCAGGTGTAGCCCTGGGGGCAGATCCGCAGGTGCTCACCTGTGGGGAGGGGTGGGCATGAGGGAGAGGGGCTGAGACAGCTTTGGGGAGCCAGGAGGGCAGCCTCGGGCTCTCTGGGGCAGAGGCGAGGGTGGCGGGCCCAGGATGTGCCAGCCTGGGGGATGCCCTGCGTGAAGACAGAGACAGGGGCAGGGCGAGGCTGGCCTGGGTCCCGGCCACCTGTGACACACGACGCAGGCAGGGCTTCCTCCCAGGCCCCTTTGGGCAAGCCCTGGGGGAGGGGGCAAAGCAGACGTGTCACCCTGTGCCCCAGCCTGCTGCCACCAGGCACACGAGGACCCGTTCCAGGGGCCCCAGCAAAGAGCTGGCGTCAGGTCCTCGTTCGGGGGGGGGGGAAGGGACCGCCAGGACGGCCAGGCACCCCTCGCCCAGGCCTACGGCTGAGGACGGGAAGGGAGAAGGAACCCAGGCCTCCTCTCCCCACCCAGCCCTGGGAGGCACCGAGCTCTCACTGCGAGGCCTGTCCTGGGCTGGCCAGATGCAGGAGCCCCACGAGACCCCCGCGGCCCTAAAAAATCCCAGGCACAGGTCTGGTGGGGGGATGGGCATACCCTGGCGCAGGTGGCAGGCCCTGTGCAGGGGCCATCTGACCTTGTCCCAAGCCCCCTGGCCAGCAGGGCACACTCTGTGCCCCCTCCGTGTCCCTGCGGAACCCCCCTCTGCACACTGACCCAGGCTGCCCTGCTCGGTTGTCCTAGGCAGAGTGGCGGGGGCGGCACCAACGCAGACAACCTCGCCTCCCCGTGGGGAGCGAGTGAGGACAGGGGCACACTGCGGGGCCCTTGGTGCACGCCACAGGAACACACGCATGTTTAAACAGGCGCTAATTCAGGCTTTACAAAGGCTGCAGCAACCCCCACTCTACAGACCAGGCACTCATCCCAGTGACACCACAAAGGACCGACCCAGCAGCTCAGGCCCCCACACCCACCGGGTGAGTGGGGATTCCAGAAACATTCCTCAGCAGGGCAGTCTGAGGGTCAGGGCTCGGCCCAGGAGCCAGAGAGAGGCCCCGTCCCGTCCGTCCCTCCCCTCCTCCCCTCCGAGGCTTGGTGTTGGGTGGCTGGTGTAGGGTGGGGAGGGACAGGGAGGGGAAGGAAGCTGCCCACTGGCTCTGCAGGGTGCGTGGGGGGTGGGGCGGCCTGGGCACAGCCCAGGGTCCTAAGGGGTAGCTGCTCTAGGGTGACCCAGAGAGGGGCGCTGAAAGCACAGCGGAGGGGTGCAGCCCTGCTGGGCCCCAGGACTGAGTGAGTGTAGGAGGGGCCACGCCCCAGGCCTAGGGTCCAGGAAGCCCCTTCCCAGGGAAGCCCAAGTCACTATCCCGCGGCTGAATCAGCCCTGAGAGCTGGCGGCAGCGCGGGGTAGGACGAGTCTGTGTCCATCTCCCGCACCCCACGAGCACAAGCACCCGGGACGGACGTCGGGACACGGGGGAGCTGTGGTGTGGCCCCTCTGTGGCCTCTGTGCCCCTGAGGTGACAGCAAGGAGCCACTGGGTCCTGGCTGGGTAGGGAGGGGGGCGGGGCCGCTACGGTGGGGCCTGAGGCTGGGGGAGGGGAGGACAGAGGCGGGAGGGGCCCTCCCACCGCAGCCACAAGCTGGGGTCTCAGTCCAGAGTGCCCCCTCCCCGCTGCTTTCCAGCCTCGGGGTCCTGAAATGTTCCGACGCGGGGGCTGAGGCCCAAGGGGGGGCGGCTGTCACCCAGGTCCCGTGAGGAGCCCTCCCCAGGGAACCAGCACGTGCCCCAGGGCTGAGCGATGCCCACTCAAGTCGGGGCAGAGCGAGCACAAGCCCAGCAGTGCCCACCCCTTGGTGAGCCCGGGCCTGCTGGGGAGGCGTCCAGGGAGGGGTGGTCTGAGACCTGGGGCCTCGTGGGAGCCAGCTGGGGGCAAGGCCGGAGCCCAGCTGTGACAGCCTTGTGGCCTGGAGGAGAAGGCCACCCCCCACCCCCACCCCCAGTCCCTGTCTGTCCCTTTCGTTCTCCTGTGGTGGGGAAGGTGCTCGGAGCAGGGGGCTGGGCACCAGATCATCCGCCAGCGACCACCCTCCATCCCCACAGCCTTTACAGACTGAGGCCACGCGGCCGGGACCCTCCCCGCCACCCCCGACCCCTCCTTGGGGATCTGCAGCCAGGAGCAGACACAGGACACGTCTCTCCAAGGGTGGGGCCCTGTGTACCCACCAGAGAAAGACGGCTCAAGCTCCCCTATCCCAGGTGAGCCAAAGGCACCCCCACTTCCTCCCCAATGGCAGGGGCAGGAGGGCCCACCCAGGAGAGCAGAGCTCGTGGTGGGTTGGGGAAGGTGCCCGGGGAGGGGGTGGCAGGTGGCAGCCTAGGGCTTCCCAGGGACACCGCGGCTCAGCAGTGACGGGGCACCCCAGTCAGAACTGCTGGGCCACGGCAGAGGGCAGGCGGCCGCAGACTGGCTGGATGTCCACAGGCTGAGGCTGCAAAGGCCACACTGCCCGGCTGGAAGGGGGACCGATCCCTTGCGGGCTCCTCCCACTGAGCCTCTCCCTCTACAGACCTGGGAGGGTCCCTAGTAGACCCCCCCGCCGTGCAGGCTGGGGCTGGGAGAGGCTGAGGAGAGACAGGGAGAGGTGTGTACAGACACTCAAGAGATACACGAGTCCCCCAGGTGCAGGTTCCGCTTGGGGCTGTCTGGCACCGCCAGCCCCCTCGCCCCCCGCCTCCCTGCAGCCCACCTCACCCCCCACCCTGCCTGGCCACCTCGCCCAGCCGCCCGGTGACCTGGGCTGTTCCAGCTGCCCCAGCACAGCCCCCGTCCCTCCCTCCCTCCTCGGAAGAACACGGGAGTGAAGACACGGAGCCAGAGCCCGGGCACCGGCGAGGGCCCCGGGCAGCTGGGCAGAGGCGGCCCCGACACCTGCTGTGGGGCGGGGCGTGGTCAGAGGCAGGAGGCTTCGCGTTTCCTTCTGCCGTGCCCTGCCCGGCTCTGGCCGGGCCCGCAGGGAAGCCTTGGTCCTGGACGTCAGACGGGCAGAGGTGGCTCTGCAAGGCACCCCCCCCGGGACAACGCGAGGGGGTCTGCTGGACAGGGACATGCACGAGTCCAGATGGCACCCGGAACCTCCCCGCCCCCATGTCCCTTCAGCCGGGAGTGAATGCCACCATCCTGTCCCTGTCCCCTCTCCCGTGTACCTGAGGGAGGCATCGGCCCCTCCCTCCCACGGATCCCCACTCTGCACCAGGGCTGCCCCCGCTGGGCCAGTCACTGTCCCCTTCTTCCTTCCTCGGTACCTTGGCTGAATCTGCCATAGCTGACCTGTCCTTCCAGAACTCTCCCTCCTTAGCCTCTGGGACTCTTCCCTCCCCTGGCACCCCCAGCATTGTTCTGGAGGAGGGTTGTTTGTTTCACGGCAGGCTGCCCCCACCCCAGCCCTTTGGGGCAGCCTACAGCCTCCCAAACCCCCAGGATCCAGCTCCCCAGGCTGAAATGCTGCGCACACCCGGCCTGGCAGGTGCTGAGCGCATCTCCACCTCTCCAGGCGCTGGCCACCAGGGGGCACCCCACGCCCTGCTTCTCCTCGCTAAGCTCCCTGACAGCCTGCGGCTTAAACGCCTTTAAGGCTCACACCCTCCTGCCACCTGCTGACACCAGTGTCCCCACCCAGCAGCCTCCCTCACCGTACCAGCACCATCCTCCCACAGCTCTAGGCAAGACCCCGTCCCCCCGGCGTCACCATCACTGTGCCGGATGGACCTCACTTTCCAGACCCAGCCTGCAGCTGCCCGTGATCCGTGGCCTGAGGCTCCCAAGGAGACTGCAGAGACAGTGGCGTCACGCCACGCCCATCCCTCCAGAAGCTTCCACAGCTCACACAGGAGGTGCAGACTGCAAAGTCCACTCAACCCGCCTTTACCACCGTGTCCTAAACGCGCTGCACCACGGACCCCGCACCCTCAACAGACTAATTCAGCATGACAGCCAGTCTGCGCCGCCTGCCGGGTGCTGCTGTGACAAGTCACGTGGACAGCTCCAGGCACCACTGGCCTCCAGACCAGGCCACGGGGGAAGCCAGGTCTTCCCTGCCCCTCCCCTCTACCCGAACCGACCCACAGCACGGCCTCTCCTCAAGCAGCAGACCCGCTTCCCAAAGCGCGCCTGTGCCGCTCTGCCCCTGCGCCCCGCCACGGCCCAGGGGGCAGGATCCTCCCAGCATGTCCAGCAGCCTGCTGGGGGGGCCCTGGACAAATGGCCCTGGGGACGCTTCCCAGGAAGTGCCCACTGTCCAGGTTCCAGAGGACCTTCCTTTCTCATCTCTGCCCTGTCCCCCCAAAGCCTGAGCCCCTGGCCAGTCCGTGTCCACCAGCACATAACGTCTGACCCCAGGGCGGCCTTAGACGCGCCTCCCTCCCTCCTAAGGGCGACAGCAGCACCTGTCACCCCGTCTCCTGCCCAACATGCTTCCCTCCCCTCGCCACTACCCAAAGCCCTTGCCACCATTTCGCCCAAATGACAGCGTCACCAAGGAGCCCCTCGCCGCGCAGAGCCTCCATCACGCGCTGGGGCCCGCGGCCGAGGAGGACACTGCCTGGGGGCACCTCTGCGCTGGGTGGGAGGGGTCCGCCCCCCAGGCCGGCGAAGGCTCTCGCTGGCGGCACAAAGGCTGGGCGGCACCTGCGCCCCGCGTCGCAGAGCTGGTCGGGCGCCCCATGCGGGTCCCCAGCCTCGCTGGCCAGGGCGAGCGGGCCCAGGGTCTGCGGACGCGGCGGCGGCGCCGGCGGTGGGCGCGGAGGGGGCTGCTGGTGCAGTGGGCGCAGCGGCGCGGAGGGGGGCGGGCGCGGTGCCGGGGGCTGCGGCAGGCGGGCGCCGTGATTGGCGGGGAAGGGGCTTGTCGCAGTGTATGCGGCAGGCGTGGGGGGAGTGGTGGAGGACGGGGCTCTCCGGGGGTGGGACGCACGGGGGAGAGGGATGGGCTTGGCGGAGGAGGAAGGGGGGCTTGCTGCAGGAAGGG